TTTTTTTTAAATTTAAAAATGATAAATATGTATATACTTGAATATCCTCTATAATAATATTTAATTTAAGTAAACAATCATGTAATCATGCTTTGAAAATTACTTCATGAGATTAATTGAGTATACAGAGAAAAAAAAAAGAAGTGATTAGTTGAGATTAGAAATTACTATATTTACAATTACAACAATTATGATAAATTTACAAAATTTAACAATAAAATTATTATTATAGTCATTGTAAAGTGTTACTGTATTATTATTATTATTATTATTATTATTATATTATATTTTTAACTCCATTTACAAAAATGAAGATATAATTATATTTCTGTTTTAAATTACAGTTGTCCTGTAAAGTAAAAAAATAATAATTGTTTGATAATTAAATTATATATCATGTATATTTAATTATGTAATGTAATTATGCAAGTTAATATATAATACTATTAGTTAATAATATTATATATATGAACAATATTAATATTTAATATTTCAGAATAATATGAAATTCTTCACTTTCAAAACTTCAGGCTTTTATTTTGGCAGAATACTAGTGAACTTTTATACACAGAAATGTTGGAAATTGTGCAAACATTGTATCCCAAAATTCACATTAAACTCACTGCATGTACAGAGATGGATTTCTTCAGAAGCAGCATTTACTGTGCAAAGCTATATTGTGATTTTAGTGTTATTTTGATTATGATTGTGGCACATTTATTCATCTTAATTTTGCATTCAATTTAATTATTTTCATCAACGCAGTTCCCTCACGAACGGTAATCGTTACTCAGAGAAGAGCAGTAGACACAAGCAGCTGACTCACTCTGATCACAAGTGCATCATGTGAGAGACAGATTTTTCATCTTTGTATTGGTACTTTTTTCCACACAGACATTTGTGAATCCACACTATCAAGGCAGTCTGGTCCCGACCTACATCATACTGTCTGTCATGGCGGCCTGGGCGTACTTGTGTGCTGGAGGATCTTTGAGGAACCTCAAACTCTGCCTCACCTGTAAAGATAAAGACTTCTTGCTGGCCAATCACAGGCCAAGATAACCCATCAGCTACAAACAGGACTTTCTCCAAAGACCGGATCATTGTGCCAGGAGGCCGACGACACGGCCAGCAGCCCTGGACTCTGGGAGGCCTGTGGTCTGGGTAGTCTGCATAAGAATGGATGCTGAGTAACAGGAATTTTATGTCTGCAGATCTTGCACTTTCTGTAATTACCTCCTCTTCTGTTTTCTGTTCTGTTCCTCATATTCTGTGTGAAAGAGACACTGAAACCATGTCAAAGAGAGCGCGTGTGTTTTATACTAAAGAATTGTCTTGAGCTGCTTTCATATGTGATTTTCTCCTTTGTAGCAGGTTTTAAAGGCACAATATGTAATTTTCGCCGCTAGAGGGCGCGTATTCAAAATAAACAAATAGACAAAGGCGTAGTTTGATGACTCCGTGACTGAGTGTGGAATCATGGGAGTTGTCTTCTTCATCCCCACAGCCGATGCAATTCGACGGGACTCGGGCAGAAATCATGTTCAATATATAACACTGTTCTAGTGGTTTTTGGGTATTTTAATAATAAAATCTTACATATTGTGCCTTTAAATGAGGTCTTGTATAGGTTTGGCCTTAAATTGTTTACTCTCCCCTTGTCGGGCTTTTCGCCCTGTATTTTATGTTTAGATGGTCAATTAGGCTCAAATGATCCGCCACTATCCTGTCATCAGTTTTACAACAGATCTTTAATTATCTGGCGATCAAACCCTGGAGAGTAACGTTTTTGTTTGAATTCATGTGTCTGTAAGCTTGTCTTTTAAAAGATCCTCCTCAACTCTCCCTAGGGTAACAGTTTAATTTTCCCAGTGGGAAATATTTAAACTGCTTGGGCTTGATTGATGAATGCAGTGGCCACTCTTCAATAAAACCACTAATCTCTGAATCTATGCTACAGGAAGCTCTGGATGATTTTAAACACATAGGTGACCACTGACCCCAGTGGTATCCGTCTTAGATGTCACTTTTATTGGACTCGTATGCTTTTAGTTTCCTTTGTAAGGTGTATGAAATTTTCATTCACAATAAAGTAGCTTAAACGCGAATGCATTGTAATTGCCTTTTCTACATTTTTTTTTTAAAGATTTATTTTGGGGAATTTTTGCCTTTATTAGGATAGGTGAGTGTAGAGCAGACAGGAAGTGAAGTGGGGGAGAGCGAGAGGGTGGGATTGGGAAAGGTCCTTGAGCCGGGATTTGAACTCGGGACGCCCAAAACTCAATGGCATTACATGTCGGCGCACTGCACACTAGGGCAGTATGTAAATGTATTTACAAAATGAAAATATTTTCAAATAAGCAGCAGGAAAAAAACAACTATATAGAGAGAATAAAAGCAGCAATACTGAGAAATGTTACAATCAACTTTATTTTAATATATTTTAAACTTTCATTAGTCCTTTGATGGAAAAGCTGAATTTTCAGCAGTCAGTGTTGCAGGATCCTTCAGAAAGAATTATGAAATATGATTTATTGCTCAAGAAACATTTACAATCCCATTATAAATGTCTCTACTGTTACATTCAATTTAAAGTGTGTGGAATAAAAGTAATAATTAAAAAATAATCTTAAACCTAAACTTTGGCTTTTTTTTTTTTTCCAGGTCATTTTGTGCTTTTGAATTTGTGACCAAAAATGCAACAAAAATGCTGTTTCAGATTCAAACATTTATTGCATCTGACATAAGAAACCTGGTGTAGGCGGTTCAAAAAATTCAAATAAATACAGATACTCATGTAAACCAATCTCTTAATGAAGCATTATACACAATGTACAATTCTTTTCTTTTTTTGTCATTCTATACATTTTTTTTTTTTGAAATAAAACACTTTCATGCAGAATATCCTGAAAAAAAGAGAGCCAAAAAAGAATGAATAGTGGAGAAAGACTACGCTTCAAAGTAAAAAGAAGGAATATACATCAACACATGTGCGAGTGTGTAAACAGATTGTGCGGCCCACCCAAGTTCAGTTTAATTGCTAAGAAACCAAAAGAGAAAGAAAAACACTTCTGTGTTTAAGATGTATATGTGAAAACATCGGTAATCAGAAAAATCATAAAAGCCTGCACCGAATACTAAACTGAGTCCTACACAGACTGTGTTTACGTGTGCATGCAGGGGGGTCAGTAATCTGTGTCCGACCCCTCTGCGTTGTCCACATTGCGGGAGAGCATGTAGTTGTCCATGTCGATAGAACGGCAGTTATTAATAGCATAACGCAGCCGCTCCGCCATGACCGACTGGCTAGAGTAAGGTGGGAGGCGGAGCTGGAAGAAGCACGTCTGAGAGGTGGGAAGACTATCATACGGCTGAAAAACAGAGTAAAAACACATGTTAGTATATAAACACACATTAGCCGCTTTTCCACTGGCTATAAATGTCCATTCATAAAAACAGACATATTCTTACCCGATCCACCTTCATGATCTGGAACCTTTGGGATATGTCAGCAGTGTTAGCTGGCAGACGGGAGCGTCCCGAGACGAAGCGCATGAAGAGGACTCTCTCCTCATTGGAGAATTCCTCCAGCGTCTGCCAGAACCACTGCACCAGCTGTTGCTGTTCGTCCACCTCCCTGTAGCGGACCACCTTCTTCAGAACCTCCACGCTGATCTCCGGCAGCCCGCAGACCATCTGCTCCAGCTGCCGTGCTGTTAGTAAGGAGAGCAAGGGAACAGGCACGATCCAGGACATGCCCTCACGCACCGCCGCCACCTAACGCGCGTTCAGAGGGGAACGCAACAGAAGAGATGAATAACAGGATGAGATGACAAGTCATTATCTAGGTGTGGATACACTCCTGCATATTCAAAGAAAGGATACAGTGATTTAGACACAAATGAGAGTTGAGCTGAACACACCTGGCGATCCATTTCATGCAGGCGATACTCAATGGCACACTCTACATACTCCTTCCTATTGGAAAAGGTCAGCGGTATGCTGTTTCCTCCGGGGATGATGGGAACCATTTTCCCATCAGCACTTTGGCCAACAAATGAGTCCAGTGGAATCATCTACATATATAAAAAAAAAGAAAAACAAATGAACAAAGAAATATACACTAAGTAATAAAGTCAAAGAAATTAAACCAATTAAAAAAGAACTTCCTATGAGTCCATGTTTTAAGTAGACATTTTAACATTTGAAATCCCCCAAGTTACTTCTGCTCATTTTCAACCTCTTTTATTTATAGAAACTAGGAAATTAATCATAAATTAATTTAATACTTAAATATTTATATAAATATTATATGTATAATAATAGTAGTAGTAATAATAATAATAATAATAATATTTATTTAAATAAAAATAATTCAAGTCTGTAATTGTGCAAGTTTTAATAACCATGTTCTTGATACTTAATTACCAATTAATGTATGACTTTCCTAGCCATTTATGGTTAAAGGGATTTTAAATCAGGGTTCTTACACCTTTTCCAAAGTACAATTCAAGCACTTTCAAGGTGCATTTTCAAGCTTTTCCAGCACTTTACAACTGTGGTAAAATACATGTTTACATACATACTTCTAGTTCTTCACTTTAAATCAGATCAGTTATTGTGCTATTAAAAACCACCTGTCTGGATTGCATTGCCTAATATAAATAGCCAACATACAGTATATAAATTACAAAATGTAAAAAAAGAAAGAATTTACAGGGTATCTGCAGGATTT